ATGGTCAACCCAACATTCCCCTCCTGCTAATGTTCAAGAGCCATGTCTCCTGATGCATGTAGCACCGTGCCGTGAACGCATTAATATTTATTAACCCGACTAAATGTGTAAGGACATAAGTAGGCATTCATTATTCAACATGACAAGGGTAGCTAAATGTGTTTGTATTCAGAGACCTGAGTGGAAGCCTGGCAACTTTGGCGGTACGTGGACTACTCGGTAGCTTTTGTGATCAAAGGGTGATTTTGAAAAGCTGCAGAGGTTGGGCACTTAAGTTTTCTTATAGAAAAAGCAATGAAGGCCAGCACTAAAGGAGAATGGAATCCTACTAGATCAAGCAGAACAGAAGGGCAATGCTCTTTGCCCAGCAAGTTTTATTCAGTGGTAGTGTTCCTCAGAACATGGAGGGTTCACAAAACCATATGTCCCAGAGGTGATTCCGTCATGCCCTGAAAGACTAGGGTTAGCCTCCATGGGTTTGACTAATCTGAGACAGAGAGACTGGATGTGTTCACCCAACATATTTTAACAACTCGGAAGCTGCATTCCTACAAGATCCTAAGCTTGTTAGTGTTCATTTAGCATGTGTATGTATGTGTGACTTAGTGTGTTGAGTGAACTCAGCCCACTTGGGTAGTTTATGGTTCAGTATTTTGTGCAAATGCAGATGTTGGATTCATTCTGTAACCTTGTTTATGAGTGTTGTGTGAATGAAGCCAGGTAGATAAAACAAAGAGAGAAAAGTGAGCGTACACACAATAGACCAGTGTTTCTCAATCTTGGCAACCTGAAGACGTGTGGACTTCAACTCCCAGAATTCCCCAGCCAGCATGGGGTGGGATGGGCTCACACAACTGTTAGGCTACCCAAAAAGCTCCAGAAAGCCCAGCAAACAAAACCCAAGATTAATACTAACCATGCTTAGCAGGTTGTTAAGCTCCAATAGAAGAGAACCAAGAAGCTAAATCCAAAAACACTAGGGAATTCCTGGAAGCTTGGCACTCAGACAAGTCAGCCACCAGTAGACACATAGAGATAAACCACATTTACACACCATCCAAAAGAGACAATAAAAAAGCTAAGAAGGAAACAAAAAGACCAGATCGTCTCCAGCAGCCTACATTCAGATAAGCAGGGATTAACACCAGACAAACAATCAAGCAGAGAATGATGCCCTAATCAAGGAACTACCAAAGAGAAAATCACGCCCTCACCAACACTGGCAGGGCAAGCTACTGTATATAAACAGGGAGCAAACCCCACACTCCCTTGCACTGATGGTGTTACCTGGTTGAGTAATGAAATATCTGCAAGCAAACAGCCAAGCTCAGAGAGCATCCAGGACTCCACATGCTGTAAAGCTGCCAGTTTTCAACTGACCTGGTCAAGCATTCTGGGTAAATACAGTTAAAGAGTTGGAGGGGGTGTCTTTCCTATGTCCACAGCCTTCTGCAAAGGTAGCCTGAACTCTCTGTCACCAACACAATTTTTAATATTCTTAATGGGAAAAACCTTGCCTTCAAAATAGGCTTCCTGCTTTTGCAGATATTTTCAATTTCCTTGTAGGATTTAGGTCAAGACCTTTCTCTGTTATTCAGGCCTTTTTCACAGAATTATTTCATGCCTTTGGGTTGATCTATACTTTAACCGACTGACATTTGGTTAATTTTTATCTGCCATCTGCTGTTTCAGTGCTGCAGAAACAACAAAGATCACTGCGGCACTAAGAAGAGATTTATTCTAGCAGAAGATTTTGTGTCTGCTCCATCCCATGCAGGAAATATCATCCCGAGGTGACATGGGAGTGCAAATGCAATCATTCTGAGATCACTTCTCCTGTTGTTTGCATCCAAGTATATTTAGATATTCCTTCTAACGTAGGCTGACCGTCACAGGTTTTATGGAATGAATTCTCACTGTGATTGTTTTTAAGATCCATTAAAATAATTTGTCATTCTTGACATTCTTTAATATGCAGAGCCACACATTTTTGGGGGGGGGGGGGACATGCATTCCTGTGAGAACCCTTTTTAACATACTTTTCTTAAGGTACTTTTTTCTTTAAATAAATTCCTCTAATATATGCTGCATGAAAATGCAAGGCCCTCCAGAGAGAGACCTATTTTTGAATGCCACGTTCAGAGATATGGTTCTTTTTTATGGACATCTTCCTCCAATCATTTATTTTTGTGTAGATTTTTATATGGATGGACACAAGCTGACTCAGTTCAGTCCATGGTCTCAGATCAGTCCATGGAGAGGGGTCGGTGTTGGCAGATCTTGCAGATCCAGCACAAATTATATTTTCCTTTTGCCTTCCCACTCTCAGTGCGTGTGGGGTGGGGACATTTGACTTGCTGTTCTGATTCACAAGAATTTAATCTGCAGAGGAGTGTTATATTTCAGCACCACGAACAGCTCCTTGGCCTTTCATCACCTGGTTTGGGCTGTTCGATGCCTAGTCAATCAAAACTCCTAACTGAATCAGAAATGAAGGCCGCTAACTGTTCAAAAATGGCTATAAAAATTAAAACATAAATTAAGATGCAGATTAAAATTGAGTAACTCTTTAAAGCCTAGCAAAAGAGTTACATCTTTAGAATGTCTAAAAGCGAAGGATTGTATTCCATAGATTGGAGCAACACCGTAGAAGGTCCTTGACTGTCTGCCAAAAGGACAGGACTCTGATGACTGGGACATCTTTGAATGGGCCTCTCCTGTAGATCTTAGCAACTAGACAAATTCATCAGGGAAGACGAGGTTCATAGGGCTGGTTGTTAGGAGTGGGCAATGGTCCTACGGCGTCTCCACGGATCTGTTTCTCACTTCAGCTGTTGCTTCTCCATGAGCATCTGATGCTGGAAAGGCTTCTTACAGTTAATGCCACTTGCTCACCATACCGTACTGCAATACCAGCACTCAGTGATGATGAAGTAGTATGAAAACCACATACTTATGTACATGAGAATGGCAACCAAATGAACTTCTGGCATTTCATATCTTCCATTTCACTGCTACACTAGCCTTTTTTCAACTGTACAAACACATGTACACACATACCTTCCCGTGCACGCCTACATTCCACTGCCACCCCCATTTTAATTATTCCACCAGCCCGTCAATTAACAGCACCACTGAGCATCATTGCTCCTTCCTGAGCTGTATTTTAGATAAACGTTCCCTTGTATGTTTTTCTTGGAACTTCTGGATGTCTTACAGAGTTTTTGATGATACTTCTGGCTGTATCATAACGGCACTTACAGACTGACCCTCAATGTGAGAGAGGGTGGTGATAATTTAGACCAGGGGAGGTACCCTTTAGGGCCGACTTGTTATTTCTGAATTCCAAGCGTTTGCATGTAGTTCAGTGTAGAGTTCTCCCTGGCATATGCATTTTTTTATACTTTTGCAAAGGGTAAATCATGACATTGCACTGCAAAATGTGGGATAGGGAGGATTTAAGCATTAACTGCAGTCTGGCTTGGAAAAGGTTTAGAGAATATCTATGGGGCAAATTTACCTTAGTATATGAACCTATTTTTTCTTCTTCTTACCAATAACAATGATGATTAGATCACCACTCATTGCAAAATCTTTCAGCCTCTGTCTTACAGGGGATCTGCATTCTTTCTCTCCTTGCGAGACCTATAGCATGTCTTGACCCGTGTATATATAATTTACAGTAAATTCCCTCTGATTGTTCAGTTAATGGCATCACTAGACTCTCCACGTAAGAGCAGAAAGTGATAGGCTTCGACTCTTGCGCTCATCCCTTTTTTCATTTTATAGCAACCCAAAGCACCTTTTTTAAAAAAATAAAAAGAAGAAAAGAGATCCGTTATTGGAAGCTGGGCACCCTACGCTGACAACTATTAATGTTTAGACTGATTTTCCCCCTTCCTTTAAAAAAAAAAAAAGATTCTCTTGATGGAGGCATTGCCTCTTAAAGCATCATGGCCTAATAAGCCAGTGCCTAAAATATGTCACCTTTTTTCTTTTCACTGAAACCGTTGCCATGTCCTTTCCTTTGTGTCTGCACAGCGCTACCCTTCAGCTTCACTTTGTTAAGAAGAGAGCAATGCTATGATGTCAAGGTTGCAGGCGTATTTTCTGGTCTCCCCTCGAAAGCCTACAAGATCTTCCAAAAAGGAATTCTTCACAGTCAAAATGAATTTGGTCTGGGTAGGCTCAAAGCAATTGTTGAAAGCTTAACTCTTCTCTAAAAAGCAGTCAGCTCTGCATGGCCTCTCATCTCCAGCCACCATATACTGGAAATCAGGAGAAGTGTGGTTGGAAAGCCCCCCGTCACCACACTGCAAAGCGGGTGGACTTTTAGTTGCTTTAAGTTATCCCTCATAAAGGAGATGCTCATGGTGACCAAGGAATGGAGGTGGTAGGAAAAGGAAACGTGATGGAATAATTACTGTAGGTCAAGGCTGTGGGAGTTCATGCCTGTTGTGATGCACTCCAGCTGTCATCAGATGTGATAGGACTACAGGACTATGCTGTCTGGTAAAACTGGGTATTGTAATCCCAACGTATTTGAGGGACTTCAAATAAGGGAAGAGAAGGATGCTTTTTCTTGAGGCCCGGTTAGTGCTTGCAACGCAGACTTCATTTGATTTTAAGCTTGAAGACGGGACTTCCTTAATTAAATGAGCTTTCTCCAACCTGATGCTCCCCTTTGAACGTATTGAACTACAGGTCCTATGATTCCTGGCCAAAAGGTCTATTAGCCTGTTGGCTGGCAGCAAGAAGAGCTTTGGTCCAACACTTCTGGCAGTTGTTTGGAGTTAGGTGGCGCCTAAACTGAATACATGAAATTAAATTAATACTGAGGTCCCAGCCTTAGGGAAGGTTGCTGAGAAGCCTGTCACTTGAGTTGCCCTGTATGGAAGCTGTGGTGAAATGAACTTAAAGGAGGTGGAAACATTGTTTATGGAGATGCCCAAAGCTGCTATATGGGTCTTAACAACCTACTCTTTCTCTCTGCCCATTAGGTGGTCAGCCAGATTGACAAGTTGACCTCTGACTTCGAGTTTGAGCTGGAACCAGATGATTGGACAACCACCACAGTGAGCAGCACCTCCAGCAGTGAGAAAGGTGGAGGCATATTTGACCTTGGACACCTGGATTTCATGACCTCAGATATCCTCTCTGACAGCTGGGAGTTCTGCTCCTTCCTTGAAGCCTCCACCCCTTCAGATTCTGGGGATGGCTCGGAGCAGCAACAGCAGCAGCAAGGGCAGCAACCCGATTACCAGCTCATGAATGGTGGGGTGTTGATCTCCAACGGACCCCGGATTGAAACCCCAGACTCTTCCAGTGAGGAAGCTTTCAGATCCATACCAAGTCACAAACCTCAACATCAGAGGACGCCGGGCACCAGGGAGCGGGTGCGGTTCAGTGACAAAGTCCTCTACCATGCTTTGTGCTGTGATGATGATGAGGAAGCGGACAGTGGGCCCCTTCTGGAGGACCCTCCGGAAGAGCCCAGCGAGACAACTCAGAAGGGGGCCTTAGTTGCCAAGACAGCAATGCGACGGTCCCCTCACCTTGGCAGTGCTCAGCAGCGAAAGCTGACACGGAACAGTAGCACCCAGACGGTGTCGGATAAAAGTACTCAGACGATTCTCCCCTATATTTCGAGCAAGCAGAAACTCAGCAACAAGAACTGAGGACCAGCAGGGGTGAAGGGTGGGCTGGGCTGAGGAGAAGGCTGCAGCTAGATAGATCTATAAACAGATAGATAAATTTCTCTATATATTTAAGTCAATAAATAATAATGATATGATAAAAATGGTAACAGGATATCATCTAACTACCTAACCATAATGTCAAGACTCAGGGAATTTAAACTGCTTTATTTATTGAATGTTGTTTTTCTCTACACACATAAAAGGCAACACACCCTACCCCACTCCACGTCACAAAGCAGGGGCATATATTTCAGATGACAAGAATACGCTCCACAAACTCCCCCAAGCTTTTCAGAATAGCATGTTTGACCAAGCAGCTTATTTTCCCCCCTCAGTTAATGGCCGTGTGAACCTGACCAACTTAGAGGAATTGGTTTGCTATGGTTGTTACAATGTGAAGCCAGGGAAAGTTGGCTTTAATTCTGCCTTCCTTTCTGATGCTTTGACTTGTCTTATATCCTCCAATATTTCTGGTGATTAAGACTCAGGCTGACTAGAATCTAGTCTGTCCCACATGAAAAGCTGGGAAAAATCCATTCAGAGGTTCAGAGAGGATGGCCATATGATTTGGCTAACTCTACCTCTTATGTTGGGGTAATCTTAACTTTCTTCTTGGCCTTTCCCCTTTCAAGAGTGTAAATTGGGGAAGGGAATAACGTTTAGTCCTCCAGATGATGGCGATCTTCAATTGCCATTACACAACAACATCTAGAAGGCCATAGATTACCCATTGCTTATTGATTTATTTAATGTGTATGACGTGTCAGACTCTGGGAGGCTAACAGTCTGTAAAAAATAGCCAACACTAAACAAAGACATTTTTTTAAAACAGCACAACACACTAAGGGTGACTCAAAAGAAAGAAAGAAACAAAACTACAACACCAAGATGGACTCGCTCAACTGTCTGTCCAATTCCTGAGGGAAGAACCAGGTCTTCAGGGCCTTGCAAAAGGTCAGCAGCAGAGGTCAGGGCCATCCAATTCTCTGAGCTTATGCTGTTCCATAGGACAAGCAGCATGACAGAGAAGATACACTTCCTGGGTCCCACTACATAACATTGTTTAATAGAGGGGACCTGGAACAGATTTCATGGGACAAGAAGAAATGACTGGAGATATGTGGTCCTGCAAATAGCCTGGCTCTGTGCCATAAAAGGCTTTATAGGTAATAACCAGCATCTTGAATTGCACTTAGAAGAACACTGGAAGCCAACACAACTTGCAAAATAGAGGTGTTACATCAATGTCCTGAGGCATGCCCATAACTACTTGTCCTGCATTCTGGACCAGCTGTAGCTTCCAAGTGGTCTTCAAAGGCTGATCCCCGTAGCATGCATTGCAATAATCTAAATAGGACATGACCAAAGCATGTGTGCCAGTGAGAAGTCTAGGAATGGGCACATCTGGCACACACACAATGGATCTGTGCATAGGCCTTCCTAGCCACAGTTGCCACCTGCTCCTTGAGCAGAAACTGAGAGTCTAGGAGGACTCCCACCTTAAGTGCTAAGGATTCTTCTTCTTCTTCTTCTTCTTCTTCTTCTTCTTCTTCTTCTTCTTCTTCTTCTTCTTCTTCTTCTTCTTCTTCT